CATTCCAAAGAATGAAGCCGTCAATGGACTGATCCTTTATTAGGCTGGCATGGGGACAGGCGGCAATGTCCCTGTGTTTCAGCAGTGTTTGCAGAAAAAATGCTAGGACTTGTGACTCTTGGATTTCATTCCAGTCTCTAGACAAGTGTCTTTGTAGACTCTTCTGCCCATTTTTAGTCAGAGTGCTTATGATTTGTTCATATTTGGCTGGATTTTCATGGCAACATCTCTCACACAAAAGCCACTCCTATTCCAAAGTTCAAGTCCTTACTTCAAAGCATGGAACTGGTACAGCTTTTCAAAGGAAGGCTCCTCAGAGTTTAAGATTGGTAAAACAATGTATTTTTCCCAGCAGAAGAGTTTCAGCTGAAATTTTAAAAACAAATAAATGCATAAATCAAAATTTAGCCTGAGACAGACGCCCAGCATGGACAATTTCAGCCAGAACATTTAAAGTTTGGCAAAGCTGTAAGAGACTGAAATCCTCTCATCATGTGAAGTGTGTGGCATGTTTCATCCAAGGCGATATTATCAGCTGTAAGTAATCCAGGCTGCGTTTATAATTCAGAGACGTAGATGTTGGGGAAGGAAAAAACTATTTTAATAGGTCAATTAGTACAATGTCCCAGCCTGAATTGAACTGTTGAACAAAATCCCACAAAACCTAGTTTCAACTTCAGTAAATGTCTTAACACTGAAGTTCCCTGAAACACAAGGGAATAATTTAGCTACTGGCAAATAAATTTAACTATATGTTGCTGAATTTCCTAGAGACAGACTGTTCAGTGAATACAGCATTACTCTGCTTTTACATTGAAAGATTCTGCATTGAAAGATTCTGCATTGACTTGATGGACTAGAAATTTCCCTATGAAACATGCACAATAGCCCAAGGGGACTTTTTTTTTTTGTTAGTGACCATTTATAGCATTAAATAACAAAAGAAATTGTAATATTTTTAAGTTATAAAAATGTCCTGTAAGTTTTTAAAGTAGATGTCAGCTGGCTGTACCTACAAGGAGTTAATCTGTCCACAGTACATTATGATCTTTAATAATTGAGAATGATTGACCAAAGTGCTGTAAACCTGACAGAAATTTGTTGCCTGATTTTCTGCAAACCACAAGCACAGCATATTAATTGAGACCTGAGCATTAATTTGCATTAGCTTGCATCTGTAAACTGCAAAAGAGAAATGACCTTGGCAAACGTGCAGCTGTGAATGGTGGAGCTGCAAAGCTGCAACAGGTAAAATTGGGTTTTAAGCGCAAATGCAAAACAATTTGAGCTGGCTGCTGGCAAATGCCCAGGTCTAGGGTTTTTAATGAGGCTTCTGCATCAAAATAAGTGAAGCCACATGGAATTTTAATTGTTCTTATTCTAAATATGAAACACACTGAAGCAGTATTCTTGAATCTGGGATGTTAGCATATATATTGTTATATTAACATGACCACTTTTCTGTTCTAAACATTTAGCTCTCAGAAAACTGGAGTGCCAGGCTATGTTATGAAGGAATCAGCCTGGAAAATTTAAAAGTAGCTTAACCTGAACCTATTCAGATTTAAAGTGTTTTGATTTTTTTTCAAAAATACACCTTTTAATAAATTTTTTTGTTATTTTTAAGCCCAGTCAGTTGATGATACTGTATAGGAGAATATCACTTGCTGTGCTCTTCAACATGTCTCTCTTTCTGGTGGTACAAAATAGAGTCTATTCTCTTTATACAAGTGTTGCTTTTCATTGTGGTGGCCACGATGTAGAGGAGAGGGTCTGTGCTTCACCCATTTAGTGCAAGTTATCACGAGAGTGGGAATTCACAGATGCAAATGGTTTTCTTGATCTGACGGAGGAAAAATTAGCATAAAACTTTAATCCTCCTGGGGAGAGGAATAAATAAATTACTATAATAATATAGTTATTATATTATGAGTTATATACCTGCACTGTCATGTTACTATATTGCTGATACACATCACTGTTTGTGCACAGCTAGATATACAAAGATGGATGTCATACCCAGTAGAACTATTTCTCTTCCCAGCCCAGCAAAGAGCTTAACATTTATAAATGAATAGGAGTCTGGGGTTTCCAAGTTAGAACCAAAATCAACCTTAACATAAGGAGGCAGCACAGAGAAAGGAGGAGGAGAGTGAAAATGCATCAGCAAGATTGAACACCAGTGAGGGTGGCAAGAAGCTGAGGTTTAGAGCTGACTTTTTATTAAGTTTCCCTTAGAAATGAAACTTTAGAACAGAGAACTTTTTCTGATCTTTAAAAATATCTTTACATAATGGAGATACAAGAAGGCTGGGAACAAATCACATCCCTGTGCAGGGAGTTATGGAGACAGCAAAAGGCACTTGGGCAAAAGGGGAGTTGGAGAAGTGAATATGCAGGAGCTGTGCAGACACAGCCATGAGTGAGATAAGACAGGGTTATGGTTGTTTGGCCTTTGGGTAAATACGATTGTGCTTTACAAGCAACAGTAAAAACAAACAAGTGTGGATTTACTAGGGTACATAAGGAGGTCTGCAGCCCCACATTTGAAATGCCTACGTGTGGTGTGCACATTCCCAGTCATTCCACACAGACATAATCTCTTGGCAGCACCATGAAGATAATATTTGGATCTAGCTCTTTTAATGTGTAAAACTGTGTGGAGACCTTTGTATTAAGAAAAAAAAAGAGTATTGGTTGCAAAGAAACCAAAAATACCAATGTTCTTCTACACCCTTAGACTCACACCAATTCCTCCTTTGATTGTAAAAGCCTTGTTTAGCTTCTGTCAGGGCAAACTAAGAGCAACTCTTTTCATGCTGGGAGAGTTGCAATAACAATAAATTTTAAAAATAATTAAAAAAAAAGAATAAGCAGTAGTAGATTGAAACTCAGTATTTTGAGCAGCTGGGGAAATTATGTCTAACCTTGTATTTCCAGATACATATCAGACCTGTTCACAATATAAAGGATAGTGTTCCAAAATTGCAGCTTTGAATCTGGGTGGTATTGCCTCTGGCTATTGTTTGCAGTTGGGAACGAAAGAAGTTGCATCAAGTAGTAGAGTGTTTGCTGTAAAGGTACAAGTTATATTACATTCCAGGGTGCTGTGGTTGGAGGGTTTGATGATGGAGACAGACCCATTCACCCATAGGTCACTGATCCAGTCCCAGATAAAGATAATAGTAATCACATTGTCATCAGAGTTTAGAATGGGCTTTTACTGCCCACTTATAGCCCTGTGCTCAATATTGTTAGAAATGGAGGATTATGATCCCCAGGTTTCAGGCTGATTTGGAGGCTTGGCTGGCTGTGGGCCAGGTCCTAGGTCCTCCAGCCTAAACCCAAACTGTGCCTGAGCTTTGCCCCACTGATGCTTTTAGATATCATTGTAGGCATGGGTTCACTGAGCTGGGAGAACAGGTCAGAATAACGATCTAAATCCCAAAATGTGTCACACAAGGTGGCAGAGGCTGTGGAGTTTGCTGCTTACAGCAGAGTGGACCAGGAACAGAAGGGCTGGAGAGAACTTTCTTTTACACAGCAATATCAGCAGAGCAGATCTGAAGCCTGTCTGCAAGGAAAATCATTGCTTCATCTTAAACTGAGGATACACAGACCATTTCACTGTTTAGCACGTCAGTTTGGCATCTAGAAGATGCCATATTTTCCTTTTAGTTAAGTCAGGTTCAGCAGACTGACAGAGAGGTGAGTGAACCCTTGGATCTGGAGGGCTGTAAAGCTGTAGAGTGCCATCAGGAAGTGCAGGAAGGGTCCATTTGATTTCATAATTTTCCCCCTTTATTTACACCCTGGTCTTTTCAGCTCTCCATAAATATATGTGTTGCTGCATATTGGCCATTGAATTTGCCTCCTTCTGCTCTGTACTTCTTCATCAGACTTTCCCTCTTTCACCCTTTTTCCCCACACCCTCTTTGTTTTCCACTCTTCTAGCTCTCAGTACGAGCTTTCACCATCTTTGTCTTCTACTCCTGTCCATCCCACAATCTCCTAAGCACATCACCAAGCTAACGTTTGCTTTCCAGTTCTGCTCCAAAGTTTTGGGTGTTTGATGTGGGATTAGAAATTAGGCAAAATGAGTTTACCCATCCCTGTTTTGCGTTAGTCTCCAATTCACAGCGTTACCATCCAGACGTTCACAGTAGTCAAAAACTGTGTGGTCTTTTTTTTTTTCAACCAGACTGCAGAGACTACATACAAAAACAAATTTTTTCAATGGCAAAAAGAGTGTTGGGCTTGTAATTTTCCATCAGCTTCTCTGAAGAATAAAATATTAATCTTTTCTATCAGCTTAATGGCCTTGCCCATCCTTCGGATGCAGCAAACTATTTTTTAGCCAAAGAAAGCAGCTGAGCAGATTCTCACCTAAATAAATTGATTTAAGGCAAGAAGCGGGTCTTAGTCACCCCCAGTGTAACTCCCCTGGTGTCAGTGGTGCAGTTAACTTGGTGTTGCCAGCTCTTGTAGCTTTACTACAAGTTGCAAAGTGATTTCTGCTTTTCTGGAAATCCCAGCTCCTGACAGCCTGTGCTGAGGTGGGAATCTCAGCTTTCGTGTGCAACCAGACCTGAGTTTCTCAAGAGGCTTGAGCAAAAAAACAGAGACACATGACCCTCAAAACTCTGAAACCAGAAGTCAAATCAACTCCAAGTCCACTTTTCTTTTTTGGCTCTTTTTCAACCTCTTGATTTTTGAGATTTTTCTTTCCCCCCCAACCTGACTCATGACCTCTGAACGCTTCAGTGCTGCTCCCTGCATTGGCATCAGTGGAGTTAGACCAGGGATGAGTTTGGCCCAGCACTTCTAGAAGACAGATGTATGACTCTGTTCCTTGCAATGTGTTGCTTGATATGATCTGCTGTTCTCTTGGGGGCCAAAAGAAGTGGGTTATCTTAGAAAAATAAAATTCTATCATCACGTGATACAAAAAATGGTATTTACAGAATTGTTTTCCCCCGTCTTTTGTTATAATTTTTTAGGTGCTTCAGAGCTGGGCCCATTTTCAGATCCCAGGCAGTTCACAAGCATTTCATCCCTCACTGAGAGCCGCTTCTCCAACCCACGAATGCACTATCCAGCCACCTTTACCTATACACCGCCAGTCACCTCAGGCATGTCACTGGGTATGTCCGCAACCACTCACTACCACACCTACCTACCACCACCCTACCCCGGCTCTTCCCAAAACCAAAGTGGACCTTTCCAGACCAGCAGCACTCCATATCTCTACTATGGCACTTCGTCAGGATCATACCAGTTCCCCATGGTGCCGGGAGGGGACCGCTCCCCTTCCAGGATGCTCCCGCCGTGCACCACCACGTCCAACGGCAGCACACTGCTAAACCCTAACTTGCCCACCCAGAGTGACGGGGTGGAGGCGGATGGCAGCCACAGCAGCTCCCCAACCGTCTTGAATTCTAGTGGCAGGATGGATGAGTCCGTTTGGAGGCCGTACTGAGATTTCTTCCATAGCTGGCCCAACCTCCGCAAGCCAAAAAAAAAAAAAAAATCCACCAAACCACCAAATGGTCGACTAACTACGAAGTGCCTGTTTTTTGTTTCTTCTTTTTTTTAAAAAAAAAACAGATTTTATCAATATGTGCAACTGTGTAGATGGGATGATAATGGCCATAAATAACACAGAGTTACCAACATACCACAACCCATGTTTCAGATTGTGTGAATCAAAGCACAGATTTTCTTTTTTTTCCCCCTGTTGGAAGCAATTTACCTTGTTTTATATTTAAAATGTACTTTCTACACACACACACACACACACACACACACACACACACACACACACACACACACAAAATCACCCCCTCCCTTTTTAATTTTTTTTTGGAATTTTTTCCTTCTTTTTTTTTCCCCTAGAGTTTTGTAATAACTAGTGAGTACTTTTGCCAACAAGGAGAGAATGGACTCCCCGGCTATCAGGAGAAACATGGTGATGCAAGGCAAAGGCTGCATTCCCTTTTATTTTAATAAAAAACCAAAACTAACCATGAACTCCAGATACAGTTGCAATCATACAACGTATGGGACCCTCTCCACACCTGTAGTGCAATTCACCTGGTTTGTATTGGTGCACATAAAAAGGAAAGCAAAGAGCAAGTTGCTTCCATTTTGCTATGATCCATTCAGATGAAAACAGCTGTCCCAAAAAAACTCTGTCCGAGCCTTGCTGCGGATAACAGTTGGAATTTCTGTGTTCATTTCTTTCTTGGTTTGTTTTTGGGTACTTAAAGAGAATGAGTTTTCAAGTTAGGTGAGCCAACCCCGGGGTTTCCTTTTTGCTTTTGTATCCGTTCGTTTTGCCTTCAATTAGCCAAAAACCAAAAATAATAACCAAAACCTTGAAAAACAAAAAAACAAAATGTTATTACTTATGCAAAATATGAGAATGGCAATATATATTACTAGAGCCAAAATGGTATACATAGTATTTGTGTTCGGCTATGTTCTTTTTTTATTTTTTTTTAAATTATAAATGTGTAAAATTTGAGGTTGTTTGCTAACATGAATCATCATTTAAGTTTAAAAGAAAATATTTATAATTATTTAATGACATTTGGACCCTTTAAACTTTTCTTAATGTAATGATATATTGACTTCGGTCTCTAAAAGTGTTTTTTGTTTTGTTTAGTTTTTTTTATTACATTTCTGCAATAGTGTAAACCTCAGACCTTTACCCAACTCTGAAAAGCAGTTCCAGTGTGAACCAGTTTACAATGTGACTTAAAAACAACAAACACAACCTAAATGCATCCACATCAAATGATTTTGGATGTAGGATCTTTTTATATAACTTATGAAGGAAATATTGTGTTTAAAATATTTTTATTAGCTGTCTGGTTGCCTTCAACACAGTCTTGCCTTTTAATCAGTAGTTGTGGAGACACTGGAAAAATGGTAGGAAGGATGAAATATTTTCCACCCTTCCCCTAATTTCTTCTTCTCCAAGGATTTTTTCTCAGAACTTCAAAATTTGAAAAGATTAATATTTAAAATGGTCTATTTTGACAGCATAATTTGGATTTCGACAGGGTTTTTTTTTTTTCCCAAAGAAAAATCAAAACTGTTTCAAAGCCCGTATTTTGCAAATAATGAATTGTTAAATATCTCAGAAGTGGGATTAAGGGAGAAATGGTGAAACATTTTCCCCTCCCCTTGCAATTTCAGCCCACTCGGTGGAAATTAAAAGTTTTCAAACTTGAGACAGAAACTGCCTGGTAGCGAGTCAGCACCCGTTAGCATTCAATGCGGGAACCGTGCAGATGCTGTGGTGGCTCTGAAGCTGGTGTGGCTGTTGCCGTGTTAGAGGGATGAGGACAGCAACACCCACCTCTGCCCACACCGAAGACACAAACTCACCTTCAAAGCCACCCTGGGGCTCCCAGGGGTGGTACAAGCAGAGCAGCCTGCACCCAAACCCCAACCTGTCTGTGACCAAACTACCCCCAAGAGACGCCCCAGTTTTGCCCAGCCCAGGGCTGGCATGGCAAGCAGGGAGGTGCCATGGCATCGGCTGGGCGTGGTGGGAGCTGAGTCACCTTCCCCACGCTCTCTCCAGGCAGGTGTTAAGCCTGGCTTAGTGGGATGCTCAGCACGTGCCGGTGGGCTTGGCCAAAGCTCCCTCCTTCCACTGCCTCAGTCACTGCTGCCCACAGCCTCCTCCAAGCTGCTCCTTGGGGGATCTTTGGCTACCTCCAAAGTATGGCAGTAAATCAACGTTGGGCACAGCCACACAGAGCCGGACACCACCCTCACTGCTCGTTAGCAGCGAAGCTGTTAAACGAGCTGCCATTAGCATGGTACAGCCCTCCAATCTGCGTGATGACGTGCTCTTAAGAATAATAAATTAATAAAGTCTTTGCCTTCTAAAGGTTGTATACCAAGTATGCTTAAAGTATAAGTAAGACACTTTGTTTTTCTTCTAATACTTAGTTTTCCTTCAAAGATGGAAGCTGTAATTGATTCTATTTATTGTTGGTTTGTGGTAGCTTGAAGCATACCACTGTCCATTTATTTGTAACTGTAAAGTAACGTTTGTTAGTCTCAGCAGCACTTAAAAAAACAGTGTCTGGTTACACATTTCAGTTTTGTTTTTTGTTTAGTAAGCAAGAGAAAAAGAGATGTACTGCCAGTGCAAGCTGTTTCCTATTTAATAAAAGGTACTATATTTGTACATTATTTGTTATTGCTGAGAAGGGCTTTTTAAGGTTTACTGTATGCATATTAAGTAATTTTTAGGGTGCTTTTGTGTCGAAATGTTGTTAAGAGTGGCTGCAGGCAGCAACCCAGATTTTCTTTTTTTTTTCTTAAGACTTTGTTGTAAAATTCAAGCACTTGGTTTTTGTTTCTGGATAAATCCAGCACAGACCAGACTTTTGTTTTGCCCAATACCGACAGGACTCTGTTTGTGTCCCTGTGGTTTTTCAACTGGACCTTTAGGGACAAACGTTGAAAACGTTTCTCCGCCCAGTCAAGGCACACGTGCCTGATCAAGTCGATTGGTGCCCTCGTCTGACCTGGCTCTGCCTGCTTGAGATAGGAAGGAAAGGATTTTCTAAGTACCTGTGGACAGAGGAGCACCAGCCTCTTGACCTTCAGTAGATCCCCATGCTGCTGAACCCTCCTGGTGCCTTTGGAAAATCTGTCCCAATACATCAGGCTGGTCATGGAGGGAGTTGTACAGGCTGAGGCAGAGATGCTCATCAGAGATTTTAGAAGATGCTTTCAAGTTCACTTGGAAATGTTCTTGGATCAGATTTTCAGACCCAACCGGTGCTATGTAGTGAATCATCAATTTATCTGAGCTTTTGTGAGGTGCTTGGCATCACAGAATGGAGTTTTCTAAAAGGTACGACAGCCCTTCCCTGCGGGCAGTGGCAATCTTTGGCACCGGTCATAGATTTAAAGAAAAAAAATTGCCTTTTTTTTTATCTTCCAGCTTCTTATCCTACCAAAGACTTACTTACACAGCACAACAGGCACAATGTCCCTTTTGATGAACGAAGGATTAAATCCTTCTCTCCCTCCTTCTAAGGGTAACCAGATTGGGTGCAGTGGGTAGGGACAGAAGACTAAAGCAAATTATTTATCCAACAGTATCATTCACGTGCTGTTTATCATTTCTTTTAAAAGCCCAGCTGCTGTGTCTTTCTTAGCATTGAATCTTTGTTGCCAGCAGTCCCCTGAGCAAAGATTTACCAGTTTCCACAGGTACCATCTGGAGTGGGGAGAATTTTTGCACTTTCACCCTGAGCAAAGCAAGGCTCAGCCCCGTGCTGAGCTGCAGCAGCAGCAAGCCATGAGCAAAAGCAATAATTAAACCTGGATCAGCCATGAGCTCAAAGAAGTCCCATTCTCTGCCCCCCCCCCCGAATTTCTTGTTGTTTTTAAATAGAATGCATTTCAGTTTAACATTTTCTGAGAACTTTTTTTAGATGTTTGTTTACTTCCATGTTTACAGATAACTCTTTGCTTTTTTTTAATGCAGTACTTTTAAGTATATCAGCCAAAACCATACTTTTACAGTAACTTTAGGTAATATGAGTGACATTCCAATTTTTTTTTTGTTGTTAAATATGCTTTACCAATCTTGAATTTCCGCTGGAACAAAATATTTGTAGCATTTTGTGTAAATACAAGCTTTAATTTTTTATTTTTTCAAATGCTGTCACCCAAGATTTGCTTTTCATGCACATATTGTACAAACACTCTGCTTTATGCCACAGACGATGATTGTGGATCAGTTTACTTCAACTTCAAAGGGACTATTTGTATTGTATGTTGCAACTGTAAATTGAATTGTTTGGCATTTTCTCATGATTGTAATATTAATTTGAACTTTTAATTTCATTTTCAATAAAATGGCTTTTTTGTTAATGTTCTTCTATGCTTCTTTTTCTTCCTTGTCTCTTCTTGGCACCAGGCATGGTAAAGCAAGCACATGGTAGGACATGGGACCAGGCCATCTGTGGCTGACCCATAAATTTCTGCAGCACTTCAGTTTTCAACTAAATATAAAAAACAAGTTTCCACCTTGTATGGTGAAAGACATATTCTAAACCTGATCTCAAATATCGCTTCTTTTCCTGAGCCTGCGAATTATCGAAAGTTGTGTTTCTTAGAGGAGTGCAAACTGCTCTTGTTCATCTTGCTAGGCCACTCACTCTGGAACCGAACAATTGACATTACCCAGAGCATTCCCAGGGAAAACTGGGATAGATTTCTACACTGGGAGGGAGGGATTTGGATTTGTGATGCTTTTCCATGATGGGGGTTGAGCTATCACCATCTCTTCCTGGTCAGACCTGAGGAATGCAGTCCCAGATAATCTTGTGATTTGCATGGCCTGAGGCAAGAATAGTTTTGAAGCAGCAGAAGATGTATGGATTGGGAGGGGACTGAGGGAGGAGGCTATTTTTCCTCCAGTTTAGTGTCATGTGTAGGAGGAGATGCAGCTAATGAAGATGAGGTTAAGTTCACCCAAGGCTG